GAGGCAGAAGGCCGCCCACCAAGAGCCGGGGTCTGTCGGAGGTTTCTTCCGTTAAAGGGAGTTTTTCCTCCCCACTGTCACCAAGTGCTTGCTCAAGGGGGATTTGTTGGGTTTTCCCTATGTAATAATATTGATAACAGTAAGGTCTAGACCTTACTTTGTAAAGTGTCCTGAGATGACTTTTGTTGTGATTTGGCGCTATACAAATAAAATTTGATTTGATTTGATTTGATACTAACATTCATATGCTTAAAGGTAACACTGGCATGAGCTTGAAGTACAGAGTACAGCTAATGAAAACTAAGAAAAGTCTGACAATGTAGAGCTGAGGCTGACCCCAAGATTCATTTTTGACACAAAACTCATGGTCTTTCCTCTTGTGCTGCCCTGAGGTCACTGGTAATAGGCCTACAGTATATTTTTTCCACCAGTAATGATAACAATCTCAGAATAACTAACGTGTCTGTCCATTTTATATTCATGCCAATTTATTAACCTTTTAAACAACATCTCAGGTAGTGTTCTGAGTTTGGGGTAGGAAACAGGATGAGACTTGTGGAATCAGTGGTGAGTTAGGGAGTTTTAATTTATCTATGAGCCGACCACTGTTTTTCCTCCTGAATAGCATCTTTCCATTTATAATGAATGGACGAGACCTCCTGCCATTGTCCTCTCCACGTTCCTTGAACAATTCCTCCGTTGGGAATAGATTTATTTAACCCAGATTTTCCTGTTGCGTCTTCATTGTTTGTCCTTCCTGACATATTAGCCCTCTCTGAGTTGATGATTCACCCGGCTTTCCAGTGCCACCAGGTTCACGTCCTCACCAATGTGATGTTTCAATACTTAACCCATGGGTGAGCTAAAATATCATCACCACACACCCTCCTCAATTACAAGTCACCACCACTGGAACCTTAATGTACTTGACACAGCTTAATGTTTGTACAACAGCTTTGAATGGTCTCAGTTTTACCATAACTTTGATTCATGTGTTTCCAGGTGGTGCAGCATGAGCTGATTTTGCAGCCTCTTGTTACTTCAGCAGTGCTTACCATCTTGTTTGCGGTAATCAGACAGTAGTGACATGAAAATGAAATGGATTGGAAACAGTGTAGAAGGAGAGACTCTCTGGTTTCTGTCTCTTTAAGATCTTGATAGCTTCTCCACTGCTCCCTTGAGGTCATTGGCCTTCCTTGGGCCGCCTGCCAACTGCCATGTTACTGTCAAGTGTTTGCAGAAATGCCAGCAGAGCCATTAGTCTAGAGCCTTTTCAGCAGTCAGCAGACTGGACCGTGTGAGCAGCACAGAGATGTGGAGAGACAAAGGATCTGGTCTTATAAAACTACACAACACATTACTTTTCCTTATTTATTTTCTATCACACATTACTGTTCACTTCAGCTATGATTACCCTCCTCCATTCTCCTCTTGTGAGCTACAGCCAGACAGGATTGTGATAGATTTGAGGTTTAGAAAAGCACATTTCTGATGGGATATTGTGCTTTTTTAAATATTACTATTGAGGTTTAGTCTGTCATTTTAGAACCATGCATGCTTAAATTAAATTACAGCCCACTGGTGCCTCGAGCTGCTCTTTGCATAGTGCATTGTCTCTTGGGGAACAGCAGCATCTGGTGGTCGACTGAGAAAATCACTAAACGTTTCGTAACATAATTTTGACTCTTCTCTTTTTAGTCTCTGCTGATTTAAGGAGGGTCAGATGTTCTTGGCTTCCTCCTGCTTCATGCTCACACTGTGACACTAGGTCAAATACAGGCCAGGGAGCTGTTCCTTTGGAGGATTCGAGGCATTATTAAAGGAACTTTGCCTGTAGCTGTTAAGGTGAATAGAACATTTCTTTTGCACTTTTTCTACCTTTACTCCTGGTTGTTTCCCAACTTTTCTGGACTTCCAGTTATAAACCACTCTCTCTAATTTTCAGGCTCTTTTTTATTTTAAACCTTTATCCTGGTATTCTTATAAGATTATTACACACCTGTGGTGAATCTAGACTTTTTGTTTGATGTGAATGTCTGTGTTTTTCCTGTAAACTGAACATACGATTTTACACTTCCTTTTTTTGGAAACCTCCTCAGTCTTTCTATGAAAATCCTAGAAATGCTCACAGATGGTGAGTTAGTCGATTAGAGTAATCCCTGAAGGGTCAGGACATCCTGGTTGTGTGGTAGTCGACGGGGGACTTGTTTTGTTAAAAATCCTCTTAGAAGTCCAGTCATGTGACCCCTCTGTGGGTTTCAGGATGTGTATGGGTTCTTGTGGACATTCACAACCTGGATGGAGACGAGCACTGACACTGCTGCCTAGAGACTGTGATAATGCATGTTTTTATGTTCATACTGATATAACTTTCACATACAGATTTCAATCTGGGTGATTTGGTTTGGATGGCATTGAGCCTTTACACTCACTTTTTAAATCAGAATCAGCTTTATTGGCCAGGTGTGTTGGACACACGAGGAATTTGAGTCTGGTACATTGGCTCTCAGTATGTATTGTATGTACATAGCCTTATGTACCTTTCATGCTTATTAAGACCAAAAATCTGGAAACAACCTTTTTCCACATCAACCATGCAGTGACATTGTGAGAGACACAGCACAAACAAGTTAAGATCATCACACAACAATACAGACATCTCCCAATCTGTTTGTCATCCTAGCATTTTCCCTGTGTCAGACATCATCATCCTGTCTTTCATTAGCCCTACCTAGGCCTTGTGGTTTTCTGAATGGTTACTGCATGTCCACACCCACTTTCCACTGATACTAGCCAAGTGGTGCTAAACCAATTAGTAGCAAGAGAAGCTTTACTCTTTGCTGTAAGGTAAACTTACTTAGGCCCAGAGCTCATAGTCTCTGTGACCTGTTACTGTAAGAATGACCCAATCCCGGTTTACCTCTTGCCCCTACCACTTAGCCTTACCTCTCTGTTTTGTGTGTTCATGTATAGAGGTAGGGGTGGCCCAGTTCTTTTTAGGGTTGAGCAGACTTAAAAATACATCTGCAGCTGATGCTATACACCTCAAACAAATCCACCAACATTCCCCGGTGTCAAAAACATATTCCTATCTTTGAGTTTTTCGTATTTGTTGTTGAAAAGTGCAAACTGATGCTTAAAGGCCACACAAGTGACATCACCACAGATGAAGACAGCCCTGAGTAATTCAAAATTTCCAACGGCAACTCATCACATCGGTTTACTTGACCACCATTAATTAACTACAGATGAGGCATAAAGGTCTGGAAGAGTTGTTCCATTTCACAGGGGAACATTTCAACCACTACTCATTGTAACTGTGTTTTGAGGGTTAACTCAAAAACAGTGGAGCACTTGAACAGCAAGTAAAGATGTTAGATTGGAACTACAGATGCTGCCTGCAGTTTGACCTGTTAAGAATAACACGTGTGAATAAGGACAAACTGCTTGTGACAGCTGTGCAGAAGCTGGCATGAGAATGCTGTAACAAACAAGACATAATGACCTGTGTTTTGTTTTAGGTCTCTGGATTGTGGACGTATGTAATAAACAAGTCTTCTCCCTCCTGCAGGGCCTTTGTTGGTTTCTCCCGTTGACGTGTTTCTACAGACCAGATGGCTTTACACATAAATCCTATTAACAACTTTCTGCTGAAGGAGACACAGTGAGTACAGGGCTTTCTCACTCTTTCATTAGCTCCACCAAGAAGCCTACTTTTTTATTTTTATTTTCTGGCCTCTAAAAAGTAGCAGTGGTAGTGCAGAAGTTGGAGGCCAGGCCATGTCTGCAGAGAAGGTAAGAGGGTGGGGTTGTGGTTTTGACTTTCAAAAAAAAAAAAATTGTGATAATTGGAGAGTGAGACCTGAGGGCTGACAGAAGTTAGTTTATTAAGAGTCAATTCACACATTTTGCATTATCTATAGCTGAACAGACAGTGTGGAATGAGTTGCTGTGCATTCATGTGACACTTTTAAGTATTTTTTTTGCCTCAAATTTTTGGTTTGATGAGGAATACTTCAGTTCTTAAATTTTAAATTGAAGACGTGGAAGAATGATGAGACAGAACATAATCTGACATACAGTGGGTACAGAAAGTATTCAGACCCCCTTAAATTTTTCACTCTTTGTTATATTGCAGCCATATGCTAAAATCATTTAAGTTCATTTTTTTCCTCATTAATGTACACACAGCACCCCATATTGACAGAAAAACACAGAA